GAAGCTGCCGAGTTTGCTTTGGGGGTTACAGGACAGCTTGACCCCCCCCGGCAGCCCCAAAACCTTTTTTTTTAATTTTTCCTTTTTTTTTTATATTTAGCCGCCGCCTTTCCACTAAGGAGAAGTGATACGAGCACCTTCCCCTAATGGTCCGGTGGGTTGCTCTGATCTATTGGTGGGGAGCGGCACCTGCAAACGGCAGCCCTGAAACCAATGCTCCTTTGACCAGAGAGTCACAAAGGGGGCGTTGAACCCAGCACCTTGGTATTTGGATCAAGGGCTTCGGCAGAGGCTTGACCCCTAGACCGGACTCAGACTTGGGGACTTTGTTTCTGTGCTTGCTTATGGGACCAAGTTCCCTGGGATATATTGGCATAGAGCTAAGAAGAAAATGGAAGAAAGTAAGAGTGCTTCTAAGGAAGAAACAGTGCAGCGAAAATGAATGCAAGTATTGCGACTGTCCAAGGGGGCAACCTGTGACACGGGCTAGAGGGGCCCAGCCAGGGAGAGCATCAGAATCTGCAGCTGCTTGTGAACGACTCGACCCAACAGGATAATAGGTGGGTCTTCAGATCATGAGGGGTGGAGGAATCTTAAAAAATACTTACTGTCGATGCATTCATGTTAGAAGGCCCGCACTTTGTTAGGTGAAGGGGAGGGGGGGGGACTGTCCAAGGGGGCAACCTGTGACACGGGCCAGAGGGGCCCAGCCAGGGAGAGCATCAGAATCTGCAGCTGCTCGTGAACGACTCGACCCAACAGGATAATACGTGGGTCTTCAGATCATGAGGGGTGGAGGAATCTTAAAAATACTTACTGTCGATGCATTCATGTTAGAAGGCCCCCACTTTGTTAGGTGAAAGGGGGCGGGGGGGGGGGAGAGGGGGAGAAGGACCCTTCAATTATTTCAATATCAGAGCAGTGGGACACATTTTATAGGAGTTGAGCGAAGCTACAATCAAATTCTTACAAAGGACAGTGAATGAATAGCTACCCAAGGGAAAGCTGATTTCATTTTCTGGTTGTAGAAAGGCAATTACCGTGTTGGTCTTCTAGTCATCATTGTTCTTAATTCATCTTTTCAGAATTCAGACACCTTTTCTCCTTACGGCTCAGTTCATAAAATTTCTCGTTATTAACTCGTACTCTCCTCTTGGTACATCAATGGTTTTTTTCTGACGGAGGGAGGGTTCGTCGTGAGGGGGAGAGCTCCGCTCTGCAGGGGTGTCACAAGGTGGGAAGTGAAGCCCTGGAGGGGGTGCGGGCAGATTTAGGAGGTTGCTCTATTCTGGGGCTGGGGTGTATGTTAATGGCGGCATCATATTCCAGCGGGGGCAGATTAGGGTAAAGGGTGGGCAGAGGCTTACTTTGGGAGGGAACTGGAGGCCTTTGTCGGACCAGGGGGGCGTGTGTGGGGACTGTCCCAAGTTGGGGCCGCTAAGAAATGTCAGCTACCTGGACAATTCTTTTCGGTTGAGGCAGCTTTGAGATAGGTTGAGAAGGAGGGGGAAGGGGGGGCGGCAGGAGTTTTCTCCAATCTCCTTCTTCAACCTGTGCTACATATGGGGCTGGGAGACAGACGGCTGTCTTCAAAGATCCAGGACAAGCGTAGTACACCACTAAGTAGGCTATGTCAAGCTTATCTGGTTTTCTTGCAATCCTAGTGGGGGGCATATGTGGGACTGTCCCAAGTTGGGGCCACTAAGAAATGTCAGCAACCTAGACAAATCTTTTCGGTGGAGGCAGCTTTGAGATAGGTTGGGAAGGAGGGGGGGGGCAGGAATTTTCTCCAATCTCCTTCTTCAAAGTGTGCTACGTATGGGGCTAGGAGACAGACGGCTGTCTTCAAAGATCCAGGACAAGCGTAGTACACCACTAATTAGGCTATGTCAAGCTTATCTGGTTTTCTTACAATCCTAGGGGGGGGCGTGAGTGGGACTGTCCCAAGTTGGGGCCACTAAGAAATGTCAGCAACCTGGACAAATCTTTTCGGTGGAGGCAGCTTTGAGATAGGTTGGGGAGGAGCGGGGGGACAGGAGTTTTCTCCAATCTCCTTCTTCAACCTGTGCTACGTATGGGGCTAGGAGTCAGACGGTTGTCTTCAAAGATCCAGGACAAGCGTAGTACACCACTAATTAGGCTATGTCAAGCTTATCTGGTTTTCTTACAATCCTAGAAGACATCTGGTTTTCCTCTCATATAGGATGCAGGATTTTAGAGATGGTAGAATCCTGGCTGACACCTTGCAAAGCTGTGGTGTTTTGTGCCCTTGGTTTGCCGATGCCAGAACGGCGCTGGCCGGTGCTGGGGCATAGCCTGTGACCTGTTTGTAGCAGGAGCTTGAGGCCTGGTAGAGAGATCTGGGGATTTGTCGAGGGAGGAAGACAATCCAGTGGCGAACTGGGGGATGCTGTCATGACAACTAGTCTAGGTAGTGAGAACATGTCAGCTATGTTTGGTATTGATTGGGATGATATTGTCGTTGGAGTGTTGCGTTTGGTATAGGGTGGGAGGCTAGGAGTTGCTCATAGATTGTGAGGCCAGGTTGTGCTGACGTAGTTTATATCTTACCATAGAATAACATCATCACATTACGATGAAGAATGAGGGAGGGTTTAGGGTTTTAGGGTCTTAATCATCGGGTAACGGCTCAGGGGCTTTAGGGTCTAAGGGTTTTTTGGCCAGTTGAAACAGTTTAAAACAAACGATCGTTGGCAGATCGTAACTGCTCAAGATGCACGGAGCTAGGGCTGGACTGCACCAGAGGAAACAGGGTGGAGGGCGATTGGTAGATATCAAGGGGTGGATAGGAAAAAGGGAATTGAGTTATATCAACTTATATGCATGATCAGAAAACGTGGGGGTTCAGGGCATGTTGAGGGACAGAAGGGTTGTTCAAGGGGCTAGACCCTTTCTTGGTGTTCGGGCCCTAAATGGCAGGTTTTGTGCAACAGACCAGAGAGGAAAGGGTATAGCACGGCAAGCTGACAGTCAATCCTCCATGCGGATGGAGTAATCAATGCTGATCAGGGGTCCTTCGGCTGAACGGAAGGAAGTGTGTGTTTGTAATTATGATGTACTACTCTATTGACTTGCCGGTGGAATAGGAACCGGACTGATGCTCCCCAGAATGGAAAAGGAGCCGGGGCCACGAGGTCCTGTATTGTTGAAAAAAAAAAAAAAAGAAAGAAAGAAAAAAGAATAACATCATCACCATCATCATCATCAGCTCATTATCATCAGTATCTTCATCATCATCATCATATTATCAGTAGTATCAGTGGCATTATCAGCAAAGTTCATGAGGGACGCTGGGCCCGGTTCCCAGCACGTGATGTTTTACTAACTTAACGATGTATCTCAGGGGACGCTGGACCCGTTTTCCAGCAGGTGTAGCTCCCCACAACATATCTCAGGGGACGCTGGACCCGTTTTCCGGCAGGTGTGGCTCCCCACTAATAGACTGGAGCCCCCTGCAAGAGAGGTAGGAGTGCATGCTCTTACCATCACTCCTATCTGTTGACACCGGCAAAATTTTCTTGGAAAAAAAAAAAAAAAAAGAACGGCAAAACTCCCATCAGGCGTAGACCAGTGATTAATCAGGGCCGTGCACGATTAGATGAGCAATCTTAACCCCAGGTTCCATTCAAGAAACTTTCAGTCATTTACGAAAAGCTTCGAACTAGACCAAAGGATTTTGAAATAGTGAAGGACAGACTCAAAGGATAGCGTAGAAAGCATAAAAGTCAAGATAGGACCTCACAGTTAATCCTTCGAAAGGGAAGCATTCAGTGCTGTAAAGATCTTCGAGTAATACCAGCCACAGCTATCCAGAGCAGTGGTAAATCCTCCCAATTGCGTGGCAATTTGGCAAACTAGCAATCGATACTGCTGTCTCAAGATCTCTCGACCATAACGGGGAGAAGCATTGAGTGTGTGCATCTGATGTAAGGGGCACTGGACCCGGTTTCCTGCATTATTTATACAAAAACCGCCTTTACCGTGTTTTGTTTGCATGGCGTTTTTGATGTTATTTGACTTTGCAAGTACGATCAGATGCATAACGATGACCAAGAAAAAATGACAACTCTGGGTCTGTGCATGTTTTCTTTCATCTGTTTTGCTTTTTTGTTTGGGTTCCCCACTCAAGCTCCAGTCTCCCACTTTGTGGCCGCAAGTCCATTAGTCTGTGTTCGTTGGGCCTTATGGCGACACGATAACAACCATAAGACAGATACAATTCAATTTGATTGAATTGATGATTCACTCACTGAACTGGTGCGTTTTTTTGAAGTTTTTTCCGATTTATTCGATTCGAAATATGACATGGCTTTTTTTTTTTTGCCTTGTTTCATGAGTATAATTTCATTTCGATATTGAGGACCCTTCCTTCTATAAACTTCAGGAGGCCTACAACGTTTGATTCTGGCAGCAAATTGTGTGACCTTTTGTCAGTCAATTCCAGTACAACAAATCAGGGTCGGTTTTAGGGGAAACACAAGGGAGCAATACGACAAGCATGAACTGGCAGACGCAAACTTTCAACGTCTTAGCTATGTGTGATACGCAGATGACTTTGTGATAGGCATTACCGGCCCTCTTCCTGACGCAATTGAGATACGTGATCTTATATCAACTGTTCTAAGTACGCTCAAACTAGAGCTAAACAAAGAAATTAAGATATCACATAAAAAAAAAGCTGGGAAACAAAGAAAATTTGTGGGAGTTGAGTTGCAATCAGATACGAGGTGGTTCACAAAGCATTGCTCTCTCTCTCTCTCTCTCTCTCTCTCTCTCTCTCTCTCTCTCTCTCTCTCTCTCTCTCTCTCTCTCTCTNCTCTCTCTCTCTCTCTCTCTCTCTCTCTCTCTCTCTCTCTCTCTCTCTCTCTCTCTCTCTCTCTCTCTCTCCGCCCAACCCTCTTGCTTCCCTCTCCATCAATCACTCTCGCACCCTCCTTCTGTCTGTCGTTCATTTTCTCTCTTGCACACAGCTCTCTTACCTTGTATGCAATGTTCCCATCAAAACTGGATGAATGAATGATGCCTTGAGCTGTTTTCTTGCTTAAGGCTCCATCAACATCTCCCAACCAGATAGCACCTCCAGATGCCTGTTCCACAGACACACACACACACACACAGAGAGAGAGAAGGATGTAAGTATATATATATATATATAGAGAGAGAGAGAGAGAGAGAGAGAGAGAGAAGGATATAAGTATATATATATACACTATATATATATATATATAGAGAGAGAGAGAGAGATCGGGCTGTACCGTCTTTTCCATCCTGAAAGGACAGAGCTTGGGAGAGGGAGAGAGAAGCAGGAGAAGAGGAAGGACAAGGTATGAAGGTCGAAAGCTGAACCAGGAGAAGCAGGAAAGCAGGAGCTTCCGTTCAAGGAGAAGGAGAGATGAAGGAGGGAGAGGTGGGGGAAGGCAGTGGAAGAGAGGAAGGAGGAAAAAGAGAAGGTGGAAGGGATGAGGAAAAGTACTGGGACGAAAAAGAGGAAAGTTGGGAGAGGTGGACAAGGAGCAGGAGCCTGCATAGGAGAGTGGTAAGGGGGATATTGAGTGGGGATGGGGAAAGAAAGGATGAAAGGAAAGGGCAAGGACAATGACCGGAGGAAAGGAGAAAGCAAGGGGAAGAACAACCAAAAGGAGAAAGAGGAAGGTCGAGCACGAAGAAGAGGATGGAAAGAAGGCAATAGAGGAAGGGGATCATAGCCAGAAGAGGAAGAAGGAGGGCAAGGAGTTAAGATTGAGAGGCAAACGGGAGACGGAGGAGAGGGAGAGGAGGTAACAAAGGGTGGGAGGAGAAGGGAAGGAGGGGGGTCAAGAGAAGGAGGAGAGGAAGGCCAGGAGGCGAAGGGGAGTAGTAAGACAGAGAGGAGAGAAAGAGGATGAGGTGGAGAGAAAGAGGGAGAGGAGGAGCGAAAGGATGGGAGAACAAGGAGAGGAGAAGCAGGACAGGAAAGAGCAGGAGGCGAAGGGCAGACGGAGGAGAGAAAGGAGGGAGTGGAGTTGAAAATGGACAGGAGGAAAATGGGAGGATGGCCATACCCTAGCAGTGTTCCATTTGAACTGGGAGCCTTGGAAATGGGCCTTCACCTTGGAGCTGAGCTGAACCACTGCAACAGCTCCTCCATTTCTCTGCAATATCCGACAAAGATTCCATGTGAAGATAAGGAGGGTGTGGAAAGCACAGTTGTCGTATCCTTACATGTCCGTGCCAATGGTTTGAAAGTCAGGAAGCAAGAACATGCCTTATGACTGAACGAAACACAGATGTAGCTATAAATAAATAGACATGAGTTCAAACCCTCAGCCGTTTAAAACACTACCTTCGCTTTCCAATCAGTCTGAAGCACCCTTCCAGGGTGCCAAATCCCTCCGCCTGCGACGAGATATTTATATACAAGCCCAGCTCAAAATTATCAAGGATCTCCTGCCTTCTTCCACATCCGTCAGGCGTGCGTTGCCGATTTCTTGAGTGGTAATTTCGAGCACGCACTGCTGCTGCTGCCTGTGGTTTGCCAAAGCGTCGCCTGGCATGGCCACATCTGCTGTTGATGATGGAAGGCTGCCCCGTCGCTGCTGCATACGTCGAGGGGTACTCCGCAGCAGGTTGCCATGCATGGTCTTGCTTGGTAAATCACTGCTGTCCCTCTTCATCTCTGTCATCCCGCCACTGCATGCACACTGACTACTCCCACAAAATCCAACGTCGCGCCACTACTCTGAGTGCCTTCCACATCAGCTCCTTGTCCTGAATAGGGCAGATTGTGTGGCTGGGCCAGAAGGAAGCCGGGCCCTAGTGGCTGTGGCCACACCAAGCACTAGCACTTCTGTGCTAGTGGCCCGCAGGTGGGGCACCAAGAGCCAGAGCAGGCAATTAATCCATCTTGAGCCATCGGGAAGGCATTTTCTTTTTTTTTGGGTGTGGGTCCTGTGGGAGCACCACCATCTAGGGCCGACTCCCACTTGGGCTATGTTCATGCTGGAAAGCATGAACCTGAGCCTATTGCTGCCAGGTTCATGATTTCCAACATGAACATAGCTGCCGACTCCCACTGGTGCTATGTTCATACAGGAAGCATGAATGCTCTAATCTGTGAATTGAACTAAATTCCTCGCCCTCCCTTTTGATTGGGAATGGCATCCCATGGGGCCCATATGCCTGTATCCAATTGTAATGTCTGCCCCATGCGATCCCACCCGGGCCCGACAGACATATGCACCCATTGCAATGAGTAACCAACCCTCATTGGTCTATTTCAGCACCTCTGAAACATAGGAGAGATGGGACCCCACTGAATCAGGAATTATGGAACACTGTCCTTATGGTCCTGGCTCCATTTCCATTCTGGGGAGCGTCAGTCCGGTTCCTTTTTTTTTTTTTTTTTTTTTTTTTGYGAACAGGCAGGGGCTTACGGTCCTGGCTCCTATTCTGGGGAGCGTCAGTCCGGTTCCTATTCCACCGGCAAGTCAATATGAACATTACAACAAGTACTTTCACTCACGCTTCCTTCCGTCTGGCCGAAGGACCCCTGGACAGCATTGATTGCTCCACCTCAGTGGAGGATTGACTGCCAGCTTGCCCATCCTCTCTCTTTCCTCTCAGACCGAACAAATAGGTCTGCCAAATTTCATCGCTGAATCCTAGAAAGAGTCCCTCTATTGTGGTCATCAACCCGAGCCCTTCCCATTCCTCCTGTTTTTTCGTTTTGCCTAAGCAACCATTAAACCCTGAACCCTAAACCCTCGTCCTTCTTAACTGCACCCCGATATACCAATCCCATTCAAGGATCGCCTTCCTCATTGCTCCGGGACTCTTTGTTTTGACCCTTTTACTTCCCTTGTTCGCCTGCGTTACCAGCTTGCTTCTTGGTCCCCACCGCTGTACATCAAGAGTAGTGTCCCGAAAGCAGAACTGTCTCCGTTAGAAACTGAATCGAGGGTTCCACTCCCTGATACCGTGCTTTGCTGTTCCAGATTTCTTCTAGAAACGGAGTTGTGCCACTCCTTCCTCCAGATAGGATCATTCCTCAACTCTGCAACCCTCCCCCCTGCCAACCATGTCCTGATTAACTTGTTTCTAGCCTTCTTCCGCTGCTCTTCGTCGTCTGCCCCTGTTCTCTTGATCTTCTTCTATCTGCATAGAATTTCTGCCTGTATCAGAAACTTTGTCTCCCCCCAGACTCTCTCCCGTGCGCTTGCAGCCTCCACAATCGTTCTGCTGCATCTTTCCTTCCATATGACCCAAGGGAGGTCTTTCTGGTGAGCTCAAACTAGATCCTTTCTGTTTTCCGTGGCCACTTAGGGATGCCAATCAAAAGGAGAAGTTAATTCTCCTCTCTTTCCTTTAGCTCTATCCCATTTCTGTTCCCTGATATCTTGATCCCTCCTCTCTCCATTTGAAGCGAAGCTGTACCCCGCTGCGCTCTGCTACTTTCCCCTGACCCAAAGTATTCTGCTTAAATTTTTTATTTCCTCCTCTTGACCAGGTTGTTGTCTTGCTTGCTGTCTCACCCTTTTCCACTGCGCGTTGAGATGTGTTTCCACTATATTGAGGAGCAGCTCTCTAGCTTCCTCCCTATGAATTAGTGTTCCTTCCATAGTGGCTTGACATCTCCTCTTCCAAATGGTCCACAGTCCATATTGTCTCAGCAGTTGAAAGATGTGCCTCTGGTAGGGTTGCCATCCTTTGGGTACCCCAACCCCCAAAAGCATGGTAATCTTTGACTCTGGGAAAGCTATCGTCACTACCTGTTTCCAAATCCCCCTAACTTGTTCCCACATTTCTTCTGCCTCCTTACATTCCAGCAGACAATGCACCAATGTTTCTGGAAGCCCTTCTTGGCACACTCTGCAAAGCTCCGCTTCCTCGTTTCTCTGGTTGTGACTTCTTCTTTCATTGAGCCACACATTCACTGGTAGTGCCACGTGATCTATTAGCCATTGCATACTTCTAACCTGACCCAATCTAATTGATAGGATGCTAGACCACGGTATGTCAGGTATTAGGCTCCTGGGGACCCCTACTTTCTTCTCCCAGCGTTTGGTCAGAGAGTGTCCCATGGACCTGGATCTGTTCCTCAGCCTATACCCCATTTTTGTGGTATATTGGAGAATGTTGATTCTTCTTGCTACTCTTGATTGCCCATCTCTGATGTTCCAGGCCCATTCTCCAGGGTCGACCTCTAGATCCTCGATTGGTACTGTTGAACTGTATACTGTATACTCGTCCATCTCTATCACTCTTACCTTCTGTAACCCTTGTTTGAGAATATACAGTGGTGCTTTGGAAGACTTGTCCAGTTGGGAAGTGGTGCTGCTCGACTGTATTATGTCGTATTTATCAGCTACTAGCCATTCATTCCTATCTTTGTCCGTGTCCCACACCCTGAAGACCTGTTTAGGTTCCGGATCATCTTCCCATGTGGCCCAATCTCCCTCTCGCCATTGCTTTCCCTCTCTCAGCAAGAGTACCCAGGTTGGATGTATGGAGTCTGTGACTATTCTCAGATTGTCATGAAGGTTGTGGCACCCCTTCAATGCTCTCCTCAGCTCCCCTGCTGTTTTCCACCGGTTGTTCTCATCATCCCAAATATGTTTGATCTGCCATATTCCGTGTTCCACCCATCTTCCCCATCTCGAATCCTTGCTAGTTAGTGTTAGAGGTTTTCCGCCATCGTCCCTAATGCTAATATTGCAGAATATCGGTTGTCTTAATACCTCCTCCCTTTTGTAGTAGGTTCTCTGACCCTTGCTGGGAAGACCTCCTTCCACAGCTGTATTAGTTGTAGCCAATAAGAAGGGTTTCTAGCCCTCCCACCTTGTGCATCCCTGTTCTCCTTCCTGTATCCCACTTTAGCCCAGTTGCTACACATGATCCAGAACAGTCCCATCATGTTGCTAGGTGTTTTGTACTTGGCTATCTGCCTGATCCTTTCCAATACTAATGAAGTCCATGATAACCTGGGTTGTGAGATTAGCTTGACCACCCATTTTGTTTGCAAGGCCTTCAACTGTAGACTTGGGTCTAGGATGCCTAGGCCCCCTTGACCCTTGGTTCTGGYTACCGTTTTCCATGCCACCTTGGTTATGAAATGTTYCGTGTTTTGCTTCRCTGTCCACAAAAAGGCTGCTGCCTTTCTCCTAAGTTGGGTCGACGTGGCCTTGGGGGGAGACCARATTGACCCCGCGTACCACATCATGGAAAGGATTGAYGCGTTCAAGATTAGTGCTCTTCCGTATATTGAGGTGTACACTGTCGACCAAGCCCCGAACTTTGCTAACATCTTGGCCATTATGTCTGCCGCCATAGACTGGTGAGTACCCTCTTCTGTTATTTTGATCCCAAGGTATCGGAGTGGTTGTTGTGGTGACATCCATTGAAGCCCCTCCGGGCTAGTGACCGGTATCTGGTTCTCTTGGTCTACCTCTGCCATCCACCAGCCCACTGTTTTGAGCCAATTGATTTTCATTTCTGACGCCAGCTGGAAGGCTTCCATAGCTCTTGTTAGCTCTTGGAAGGAGGAGTCTGTTGCCCTGATTAAGACTGTCAAATCATCCGCGAACAATATCGTCGTGGGGATTGCCACCTTGTGTCCTTGTTGGGTGCTGTTAGTCTTTCTATTGACAGGTCCTTTCTCAGGAAGGAGGCTATTGCCTCCATTATGAAGAGAAAGATAGGAGCAGCTAAGGGGTCCCCTTGCCTAACCGACCTTGACATCGGGTAGGTCGAGGATAAGTGACCATTTATCTGTACTTGTCCTTGTGCATTGTTGTATAAGACCCTGATCCACTTCCTAAAGTTCGGCCCTACCCCCATCTTTTCCATGCACAACTGCAGGAAAGGCCAACTGACCTGATCGTAAGCCTTTTCAAAGTCGAAGAAAAGAATGGCGGCATTGATTCTCTTGTCCCTTATGTACCGGACCGATTCTGGTAGGCACATGACATTGTCCAATATAAACCTACCCGGTATGAATCCTGTTTGATCCAGATCGAAGCAACCCGCCGTGATTTTGGATAAGCGATTAGCTAGCGCCTTGGCTACTATTTTGTGAGTGAGAGTCAACAAAGTTATTGGTCTATAATTTCGTATGTCCGTTGGACTCCCTTTCTTGTAAAGCAGTGTGACTATCCCTGTTGCGGGCTCGCTTCCTATACCCTCTTCCTGCCATACTTGTTCGAGAAAGGACACGTATTCCTCGCCCAAGATTGGCCAAAATTCTAGCTAGAATTCTCTAGTCAGGTCGTCTTTCCCCGGGGTTTTATTCGGGGTCATCGTTTTTAGTGCCTCCCATAACTCTTCCTGTGTTAAGGGTACGTCCAGCATGGCTGCGTGCTTTCGTGAAATTGTGTTCTGAAGATAATTCAGAAACTTTGATCTCGCCTCCTCCACTCTGGGCTTAGAGAACTGGTATTCCACTGATGTATATAATTTACTATAGAAGTCGAAAGCCACCCTTAACAACCCTTCCTTGTCGGAAGTAGGCCCTCTTTCCCCTTCTAAGCTCTCTATGAGATTGTTCCTGCCCCTAGTCTTGACTTTTTGGAAGAAAAATTTGGTCATTCTCTCCCCTTCCTCCCATTCTTTGATTCTAGCTCTCATTCTTAAGCCTTTCATTTTCCAGCGTTGCCATTCCACCATCTCACCTCTTGTCGTCTCTAATACCCTTTCATATATTTCATCCCCTGGCCGAAAAATAGTATTGCGCTCTGCTATCTCTATTGCTCGCGCCAGTTCTTTCTCTCTTTCCTTCCTCTTTGTCGTGAGCCTCCTAGCCACTATAGCAGAAGCCTTAGACAGTGATGTTAGCAGTTCTGGGAAAGCGTGTGTGTCAGGGTTGTGTTCTTGACACACTTGTAAGACCGCCTGTCTCATTTCCTTAGTTTTTAGGAGGGAGTTATTGATTTTGTAAAACCCCTTACCCCTGTTGATTTGTTTGTCTGAAGTCAAGCTCAAAAGGATAGGTTTGTGGTCCAAACCCACGTCGTACGGTAGGCTACCTATGATTACTGAACGCAACATGCCCGTTATGCCTGGTGATGTTAAGAAATAGTCCAAACCCACGTCGTACGGTAGGCTACCTATGATTACTGAATGCAACATGCCCGTTATGCCTGGTGATGTTAAGAAATAGTCTATCCTAGAAGCCGACACGTATTGGCTACGGTTTCTCTTACGGTAGGTGAATCGTCTTTCATCCAGGAAGAGTAACCTATAAGGGTCTAACAGTTCTAAATTCTTCATTAGCCCATGAATCGGTAGCGACTTTTCTGTCCAGCCCTCTTCCTCTGATCTAAAGCCCCCTGAAATTCTGTCAGGGCTAGGATCTAAGGTGGCATTCCATTATCCTGCTAAGATCAGGTGCCTATTCCCATCCAGAAGTTCCTTAAGCCTTTCGATCATATCTAATCTTTGTTGATAACCGTTAGGACAGTAAACCGACAGTAGCGTGTAGGGTTCCTCATGCAGCTCGAAGTCAATCTTGACCCATCTTCCCTCCTCCTCATCCACCCTTGTTTCTGAGATGATAATCTTGTCTGTCGCTTTCGCCCTTTTGTTCTGTAGTATGACCACTCCCGCGGAATGGTTGTTTGCTGTTGGGGCCCACCATGCTGCTTTAACTCTTTACAGTTTCTTCTCTATCTAGTACTTTGTTTTCTGGTGTCCTACAGATTCGTGTAGGTGTGTTTCCTGCAAACACAAGAAATCCGGTGGAGACAAAGAGAACCACTCTGAGTAATTTACTACATTTTGCCACTTGTCTCCATTTTTTAAAATCCCGACTAGGCCATTCACATTCCATGACGCTATTTTGAGTTCCGGTAGACTCGTGCCCCCCTCCATCCTTCTTCTCTACTTTCTTGGTCTTTATAACTCTCCTCTCTCCATTGGGTTTCCTCGTTAGAATGTGGACTTCTCATCTATCTTTCCATTTTCAAGTATCTTATGCGGTGAGCTCAAAGACTGTTGCTACCTCACTTACCCTCTTCTCGAAGAATTCTGGCTTCCAAGCGAAAGCCTCCGTCTTCACAGCGACCGCTGTGCACCTCGCCACCCATTCCGCGCCTAGTTGTCCCCCCAGCAACCCATAGGGGATGGTCTCCACCACCTGCCATGGCATCCAAATCAAACTCTCCCTGAGTACGGAATCAGCCCCCATTTGAAGTAGCAGCGGTCCAAAATCGGTTGTTGTCTCTTCCTCACTTTCCTCCCTCATCGCCATCGGCTCCTCTTCTCCACCTCTCCCCCTATTAATCTCTGAAGGTCCGGGCCTAAGCATTGTTCGATCGGGGCCGTTAACAGCTGTAAGGATTGGTTGATTGCCACCTCCCAGTCCGAGTGTCTTGCATTCCATCTGCAGGGTAAGACCACTCTCCTCCTTGTCCCATTCTTGATTTCCAGACGGGCCGCAACTTCTATCTCCTTCCACTGACCCTTTGCTATTTTTTGTACGCTCACTGTGCTGTCCTCCAACTCTCTGTTCTCATCCTTGAGTAGGTTTACCTGCACCTACAAAAACGCAGTTTGCCTTCTCAAGTCCTGCACCTCCTCCTCTTCTCTCTCTCTCTCTTCCCCTGATCCTCCTCCATTGCTGCACTATCCATTGAATCATTCCCACCACTGGCTGTACTGCCTTGCTCTTCTGCCATTTGTGCTTTTCGTTTCTTACTGTCCCTCTTCCTTTCCTTGTTGTGGTAGGTCTTTGGCCATTGAAATAACCTCCCATACTCCTCCTGCTGTATGTGGATCTCGTTCCTTACTGTACAACTCTTTCTTGCGTATTGGGATKCRTAGAACTCATTGATTTCTCCTTCYCTCCTTAGCAGTTCAAACCTGTTTTCTGATGTRATRTCYTCCCCTGCTTGTGTGGCTTGWTGGAGGTTCCTCAAGTGCTTGTGGTGGGCCAGTCTRATTTCACACTCGATCGTCCTGCCCCATTCCAGCTGCTCTACCTCTTTTAYCCACCRGTCCMTTGTCCAATCTTCCACATCTGAGTCTTCCTGATCTTCCTCCTCCTCTTCTTCTTCTTCCCCCAATGAGGCTTCGCTTTCTTCGTCTGCTGAACTCTCCCTCTGGTCCTCTTCTGCCTACAAAATCTGTTGCACTGTCATGTTTTCGACATTTTGCATGCCCCTCTTTCTCGCCCTCTCTCTTACCCTTTCTTCGTCCTCCAATGTTTCATGATCCTGGGCCCCCTGGGATCCGCTTTTGTCTTCCTCATACTGTGAGGATCCTTCTGGGTGGTCATTGTCTGTCAAGTCCTCCTTTCTGTCTCCTGCTATGCCTGCCCCTTCTTCACGTGCCCTGCTTCCCTTTGAGGTCGCATCCCGTGAGCTTGAGTCAGGTTCACTCTCCTTCTCCGAGCTCCCTGTTGATTCCCCCTCTTCCTTCTCTGTAGTGTCCCCCCCTCCGGATTGGGTCTTTTGTCTCCTTTTTCCCTGCTGTGAATCTCCTTCTTGAGTGTTAGACCCAATCTCTCATCTTGCCTCTCCCTTCCTTTTTGTGGAAGTACTTCCTCTCTCAGCCCCTGCCTTCCCTCCTTGCTCGCAGTCCATATTGTCTCCCTCACCCTCCTCCATTTCTCCCGACCTCTCCTCCTTGCCTCTTATCTGGCCCTGCTGCTGTGCTCTGGCTTCTGCATTCTCCAAGAATGCCAATTCTGCATTCTTCCCGACCTCGTGCAGTTCCCTCATGAGCTTCAATCTCTGCTCCACATCTTGCATTACTTCTTCCTCCAACATGGGTCTGATAAGGAATCAAGTTTCCTTGTCCTCCATGCGTTTGGCTCCTGTGTGCCTCCACCTGCTGTCATAAGGAGGATAGATGTCTGGCTTAACTGTCGGCTTCCCTTTCATCACCCACACCCACTTTGGGTTTTCCAGATTGTCATCAAAGATCCAACCCCTGTACTGTGCTGCATTTATGTACCATACTCGCGGTTTACTCTCACACTCCTGCATCATCGATTGCTTCAATGCCATCCTTTTTCCCCCTGTTTCTCCTAAGCTCCCATGTGGGCATGAAGTACCCAGGTGGCCTCTGCCTCTACATTTGAAGCAGAAAGGATTGGTCTTGGATGAGATGAACACTGTGACTCTCTGCCCACTTTTCTTGAAAATCCACTGATCCGGGAATTTTGGCGGTGCCCCTGACATTACTTCCAAGCATGCCACTCTTGCGTCGTGATTGGGTGCCAGGAAGTCCGGGTTGGCCGGGAGCCATTCGATGATTGGGTTGTTAAGATACTCTGCTTTCAGCCTGCATTGAATGAAACTGTGCATCCCCTTCGACAGATTATCGAACTGAACCAGAAGTGGTTTCTCAGCATGGATTGTCTCTGTCTTGAAGCCTCCGCCTATGGTGGCCTTGGCGGTTTCCAGGGTTGAATTGTAACCACCAACCCCTCGCATTTCAGCGATCCGATCGATATCAGGTAATGTGTGTAAGTTGGATCGACGCAGACGATCATGACTGCGAACCTTCCCCTCCTGTGGTATGATACCTCTGGTTCCTTCCCTCGGACGTCTTCCATGGTTGTTAGCCTATCCATCACCCATCTTCTCTTTTCGTTCAGAGATAGCTCCCTGCTTCGTCCTGAAAAGTTGAACAGCACCGCATGCTTCTCGTACAGATCATTCAAGGACTGGATGTCCTCCTCTGGGTATTCCCAAACATCCACTTCCTCGTCCTTTCCTCCCTCCCCCTTGATTACTTCCTTTGTCACTTTGATCTCCGCCTTGATCTGAGATTTCTCCAGCAGGAATTCCATTGCCTTTTGCCCCAAGGTTCGTGACTTTGCAGATTCCGTCATTGAGTTCGTACCTGACTGCGATGGCATCTGCCCTGAATGGCTCATTGACGCCCCCCCTCGTCCTTTCTCAAAATCCCGTTTCTCCTTCTCACTCATTGCCCTTTGAGCTGCCTGGGAATACGAGATCGCCATTTCTAGAAATGACTTCCTGGGACAAGGATAATACAGATTAACGAACTTATGTCTTCACGTTTGGAATGTGATGGAAGATCTAGGCGGTGGATAGATCGGTGTGGAGAGCGGTGGGGTCAAGGTAGGGAACTGTGCTGGAATCGTGCGAAGCTAAAGTCCAAAAGGAATGGGTCTTCGTACGAAGTTGCCGTTTGGGGTTAAAGGCACTTAGCTTCATGCAAAATTTGGCAGCATTTTGCCTCCCCACTTGGGGATCAGCTTTTGGTCAAATCAATTGGCCAGGCAGTGGAGTAAGGTAAAGTTCAGATTTCGGTGAAAGGAGACTAATTACCGGGCCAGACAGAGCGCCTTGTGGTTCAGACTAGATGGGCGACAGTCAAATGGAATTGTCGTTTGAGATTAAAAGATCATAGTTTTCTGCGAAAATTTGACAGCTTTTGCCTCCCCACTTGGGGATCGACTTTTAGACAAAACGATTGGCCAGGCACAAGGTTGAGGTAAAGAACAAATTTCGCTGAAAGGAGAAAGTTACCGAGGCAGACAAAGCGCATTGCCTTCCCGACGAAACGGGGGAGAGTCCAGTGGAGTTGGAATTGGGTTAGAATCAAAGTGGGATAGAAATTTGGATCAGTAGATGGGGTCGATGTGGGATCGAAACAGTGTAGGGCGGAAAAGGGTTGTTGATGTGGAGGAATCGGAGTGGATAAAGACCCGCTGTGAGATGGGATCGGAACAAGGGTACAGTTGGGTTAGAAGTTGTATCGCGCTCGTGAGGTATTGGGGACTCAGTGAGAGAATGGAGTGGGGGCGGGGTCGTGATGGGATCGGATCAGAAAGAGCGGCGAGGGGGCGCTGGGGACGGGGTCAGGGATGATGATGGAATCGCGACGAGATCGGGCCGGAATTGGGGTAGTTAGACCAAGATCGGGGTCTCGATTGGAGAAGGAGGGATGTAGGGATAGGGACGGGGATGGGAGGGGGGGGTAGATCGGGGACAGGTTCCGAGACAGTATATGATTGTAGCGGGATGGAAGTGGAGGCGGGAATAGATCGCGTTCGGGATGCAGCGGGTATTGGCCTGGAGTGGGGAACGGAATGGGGGCGCCGGGGGGGTGGGCGAGGAGGCTAGGTGGGTAGGGGGCGGAGAAGGAGTATGTTGGTTCGGAGGTAAGAGGAGTTCGGGATTGTCCGAAGTTGAGACTTTTGGAAAGTTGCACAAGGGGGGGAGGGGGGGGTGGGGAGAAGGGGAAGAGAGAGTGGGGTATTGGCGATCAGTTGAGGGGGGGCGGAAGTCGGACGGGTTGGATCGGGGAGACAAGGCTGGTACGTGGGAAAAGGGTGAGGGGCTTGAGAGACAAGGACGGGGATTGGGAGGGAGTCGAGATTGAGATGGGCCGGGTTGGGAAAGGGTTTGCGTTCGTGGGGGAGTGGGGACTGGGTGCGAGTAAGGAGTTGGAACTTGGTGGGATGGAATACGTGGTGGGATAGGGTCGGATTGAGGGGAGTGGGGGGAGCTGGGGACTGGGCCGGGGTAGAGAATGGGATGTGGCACTAGCCCAGGACGGGCTCGGGTTGGGCGGGATCTGAGTGGAATTGGTAACGATGATGGAGGACCAAGGCGGTGTATGGATCAGAGAGAGGAAGGATAAAGTTAGGTTCTGTTGGTGCAGGAGAGGGAAGAGATTCGGGAAGGGAAGTAGTCGAAGTTGGGTTTTGGAATGGAGTTGGGATAGAGACGAGGTCAGGGATTGGGAGGGAATCGGGATTTAGATGGGCCTCGTTCGGAGAGAAGCGTGGTTGGGAGTGCGCCGGAATCGGGATGAGAGGTGGTCGAAGTTGGGGTGGGGGGGAAGTCGAGTAGTCGAAGAGTTAGCTTGTAGACGGAGGTGCGAAAAGAATCGAAGAAAGGAAGGGGTTAATGGCTCTCACACTTTCGACACTTTGTCTTCGAAAAAATGCTCAGACTTAGCGATTTCGGGGGTTGTCCGGATTGATCATAGTCCGGATTGATCATAGTCTTCTCAGGCAATGGCGAGTCCAGCGCCCTTGAAACCGATTGCGCAGGTGCTTGGAGATGGTCGTGATCTTACACCTTCTCTCAACAGATGGCAGGGGCGCGCGCCTTAACCTTCAGCTTTGGCGTACCCGGGTTTCAGATAGCGTAGTTTCCCGCGCACGGGATCTGGAAATTCCCCGTGATCTGGAATAGAGAATTATGGCGTGGAAAAAAGGCGCTCTCCTTTGAGATAAACGCATGCCCGAGGGGCGCGCTCGCGATGACGGGCGAGATCGGACTATGGCGAAGAGGCGATCGCTGTGCGGCATTCACCGTAAGGTTAAGCGCGCGCCCGAGGCACGCGCTCGCGATGTCTGGCGAAATCGGGCTATGGCGAACTAGCATGCGCTGTGCGTTACCCGAGCGGCGCGAGCGCGAGTCGCATCAGTCCAGCATCAGTCCCTGCGTCCGCAACACAACAGTCGTGTCAATCCGGTTCTTATTTGCGCCAGTCCGGTTCCTATTCCCCCGACAAGTCAAGAAAAACCGGATTACATCATATTACCCACTCAATGCTTCCTTCCGTCTGGCCGAAGGACCCCTGGTCAGCATTGATTGCTCCTTCTAAGGAGGATTGACTGTCAGCTCGCCCTGACCCTTTGTTCCTCTCAGGCTTCTATTTAGAGCCTGTCGAATGAGTACCTGTAATACGAGAACAGTGGGGGGTCCACTCTGTGTTTTGTTGCTTGTCCTTGTCCTTCCCTATGTGTTCGGTCCTCTTTTTGTTGATCCCTATTCAAAACCTTTTGCCAGGTCGCCCGGCCAGTACCCTCGTGGTCTTCATGACTAAGCCTGGTGCCATTTCTTCCACCTCAGTCTGTTGTCTACTATCGTTGCCACCCTGCCCTTTAGCAGCCAGTTTCTTATGAATGTTCGTTTCTTGATCGCTTTGTCCTTCTGGTCTGTGTCTCGCAGGGTTTGTTATTCTCCGCCATCTGCTCCTGATTTCCGTCTCTGCCATGCTCAGCAGTAGTGACCACATTTCTTCTCTTGCCACCTCTGTTCCCTCGATTGTCTGAGTGCATCTGCGTTTCCATATCACCCACAATGCCAGCTTCCTGAGTAGGGTGAACCACGCTTCCCTGCTGCCTGTGATGTTGCTGGGGATGTTAGTTAGAAGTAGGATAGAGATAGGGGGGATGTTAGGGGGGGGCGCAGCAAACAGGATCGACCATAGCTCACGGATCTTCTTCCATATCCAGGTTGCTTCAGGGCAGAATAGGAGGCAGTGGGGGATGTCTTCGGGTGAGTCGTTGCTGCACATTGAGCAACATGTCGAGCTATCCGGATCAGAGTGTTTCCTTCTCTCGTGTAACCATTGGTTGACTGGCAGGGCTGCATGTGCTATTAGCTATTGCATGCTTCGGATTATAATTGGTCTGATGAGGAGGTATTTGGGCCATGTGATGGTGATGGGGGTCATGGTATCTAGGTTCAGTATGGTTCTCCATTTCTCTGTCAGCCTTGGGTTCGGGTCCCTGGTTTGTAGTCCGAGGTTATACCTGAACTTTACATCGTACTCTGTTATCGTTCTCGATAACAGGTTGGTGGTCAGTAGGTGGCACCCTTTTAAGGGAGTGCGAAGGTCCTGTGCGGTGAGCCATTCTTGTCGGTCTTCGGACCACAGATGTTTGACCTTCCATACTCCTCTCTCTACCCATGACAGCCATCTGCGGTCTTTAGCCCGGAGATTCCACGGTCTTCCCTCTGTGTCTTTGATTCAGGGATTGCAGAACAGGGGTTGTCGTAGGACTTCCTCTTTGTTGCTCGGGAACCCTTTCTTGTCTGGCATCAGTCGGCGCCAGGTCTTTAGGATCGGAGACCAGTAGGGGGTGGGTGTGGGGGGGGGTTGAGTGGGAGTCTCTGGGTTTGTTTTCCTTGCTGGTCTCCCCGATTTGATTGTCCACTCCTTTGCCATGATCCAGAACAGGCCACTCATGTTTGGTGGGGTCGCTACTGGCGCCAGATTCCTTATGTTGTATCTCGCCATCATGGTCCACGGGAGGGCTTGTTTGGTTAGGATTTGATTATCCATTTCATTTGGAGGGCGATTGCTTGGAACACTCTTCTTGATCCTATGTGGCCATATTTTCTTGCTTTCGAGACAAACAGGCCCAAAGACGAAGCCGCCTCCAATGGCATGAAATATGGAGGGAACCCTTATGTTTGGGAACCCTCAATAAAGGCTCTCCTGGCTAGCTTGGGTCGCAAGGGTGAGGGATTTGTGAGATGTTCCTGCAGGCTCAAAGAAGTTGGAAGCCACACCAAAAGGTCACCTAAGGAATATTAACATTTAAAAACCTAATAGCTAAAGTCATGAAGATTCAGGATGCCATCCTGTGCGCTTCGGTCAGGGAACTGAAAACGAGCTCATTAATCCAAAAGAGGGATTGGGTAGTACCTTTGTCTGCCTTTCCATGGTCACATATCACGGCACCTACATCTCTATACGTAACTCGCTGCGCATTTATCGCCGACCCTGCAAAGGCGGGTTGAGATTAGCCTCCCATTCCACAATCCCTGCCATCCGACCATCACGCTTGAGCGCGATCTCAGTCAGAAGAAGCTGCACAATCTTGTTGACCACATCCTCCTCCAGCCCCTCGTCCTCATCAGGAATGAGGTCGTTTGTCTTCGTCATGAAACCACCACGCCACGCAGTGCATCCCTTACGTATCTGCCACCCACCACCAATCGGAGCACCATCACACCACTCGCATTGTATGTCGGGTCACATGTACTCGTACCTATGACAGTGTACCCAGTATCACAGGTAACAACCTACATAGCCCACCCCCAGGCTTTTGACCCTGTGCTTCCAAGAGTGAGGCGGTGTCAGGCAGCTCCAGCCTTACGCCGCCCTTTACTTCCTTCAGCGAAACACTTGACGGAAATCAGATTTAACCGCCATGGCCGACTTGGCCAAGGCCGTCATTTAAAATCTGCCAGATCAGAACTGCTTGAGAGATATCGGGATCGAGACGCCAGGAAAATGCGATCGGGCGATTCTGAGCGACCTCTTTCGGTGAATATTAAGAAAATTTAATGTTGAAAGGACATAGGAATACTGCTACATCAGGAGAGATGCCGGGGCGTCAGCCGGATGATGGGAATAGGGGACCCGAACCCACACTCGAGCTTGGTGGTGTGTGTGACAAACGAGGACATCCGGCTCTTGCGGCGAGCCTTCAGGCAAATTGGGGAGCGACGGCCATGGGGAATTAATGCGAGCCAAGAACGGAAGAAATTACTGCGCGAGCCTCTATGAGGTCTTGACAGTCGGGCTATGAGTAAACTCAAAGGGCTAGCACACTAAGTGTGCTAGCTCACGAAGACACGGGGAACTTCGAGCTGGACTTTGGGGAAGGGACTGGCGCACTTACGGACAGAGGGGTGTGCTGGCCTTTGCGCACTCAAGGAAACGTAGGAGGAGAGGACGTGCCAGCGGACATACCCCGCCCACGAGGGGGACACCCACGGGCGCGCAGCGTTCGCGCACTGGCTGGTGCGAGGAAGTGGGCTGGTAGCCAGTGCGCGGAAGTGGGCTGGTATCCCGCGCACGACCGTAGCGAGAGGGCACGAACTAGCGAGCAGAGAGGATGAGCGCCAAAAAGGCATGACCTTTGGGCGCATTAGAAGTCAATCAGCGGACCAATTAGCGACTTCAGGCTGGCAGATGTGCCGGCACTCGGAAGCCAGCTCTCGATCATGCGTACATTCTAGCAACCTGGACAGTTAGCAGACATACGATCTGAAGGGTGCGCCAAAACTTCCACTTCCACCTTGTGCGGGAGAGGGGAGAGTTCCCGTTTCTTCTAGGATGAATCGAGCCCTACACGCATTGAGCCTAGCACCAAGTTGCAGTTGAGCTTGAATCGGTCAATTGAGGAAGGCCAAGAGGGTGAAAGAACTTCGTGCGCATAAAGATCAAGGGAAGAAGACATCGCTCACAGACGTACGGACGAAAGGGGACATCACGCGTCCAAAAGACACAATCAGCCAAACTTCGCAGGCATTCACGCTCGGATCCCACGCACCGATCTGCCACACGGATCTGTCACAATGATCAGGCCCGCGGATCAAACGCACGGATCTGTCACACGGATCTGTCACACAGATCAGGCGTGTGGATCGGACGCACGGATCAGACACGCTGATCAGACGGGACATGTACCTGGTCTTACCAATGGCCACAGGGTCGACATCTCCATGTACTTGATCCTGGCTGTTGATGCCAACCTGTTGCATTGTCAACCCATAGCTGAATTGTAGCCGTGTGATCGTAATCAGGGCGATGGGGCCAATTTGAAGTAGGGGGGAAGCATCTGATTGAGACACGAGCCAGGCGAACGGCCGTACGAACCGAGCGGGCATTGCACGCGCGACTGTTGGGACATAGCGCACTTTACACGAGCTGGCGCACTGACTTGGGCGATCACAAAAAACCGAGAGCATCAACGAGTTGACTGGGGGGTACATTGGGTGCTCTTGCTCACAGATTCGGTGTATGAAAACGTGTACTTGTGCGCAATCACCGGCGCCGTCGTCTCTGCTACTTCCTAGCGAGATTGGGATGGCATGATCACGTGCTTGTGCTGATGGCGTCGCTCTTGATAGGATTGCTACGTCAGCAGTTCCTCCTCTCCCCTTCATCGCTCTGCCTGTGAATGCATCCGGTCCCCGTGCATAGCCGAATGCATCGGCAGAGCGAAGAGAACCTACTAAGTGCGAGTAAACGGAGGGAGCAACTATGGCTCTCTTAAGGTAGCCAAATGCCTCGTCATCTAATTAGTACGCGCATGTGAGCTGCACACAGGAGAAAAGGCTGCGCGCGAACTCACAGCATCTGCGCAGGCTGGAAAGTAGGAACGCACGAGCTGCGCACGCGCGGGAAGGCTGCCGTGCGAAGAAAGCTGCTGCGCGCAGGGAAGGCTACCGCGCGGGGAAGCTGCTGCGCGTGGGAAGAGCTGCTGCGTTGGAAGGCTGCCTGTGCGGGAAGGCTGCCTGTGCGGGAAGGCTGCTGCGCGCGGGAAGAGCTGCTGCGCAGGAAGGCTGCCTGCACGGGAAGGCTGCCACGTGGGGAAAGCTGCTGCGCACGGGAAGGCTGCGCACGGGAAGAGCTGCCGCGAGGGAGAAGCTGCCACGGGGGGCGAACGATCGCGCGCAGGGAAAGCTGGCGTGCGCGCGCGCGCGAGAGAGAGAGAGAGAGAGAGAGAGACAGAGAGAGAGAGAGAGAGAGAGAGAGAGAGAGAGAGAGAGAGAGAGAGAGAGAGAGAGAGAGAGAGATCCCAACGGGTGCTGACGCGATGTGATTTCTGCCTAGCGCTCTGAATGTTAAAGTGAAGAGATTCAACTGAGCGCGGGTAAACGGCGAGAGTAACTATGACTCTCTTAAGGCAGCCAATGTCTCGTCATCTACTTAGTGACGCGCATGAACGGATTAACGAGATTCTCATTGTCCCTGTCTACCATCCTGTGAAATCACAGCTAAGGGAACGGGCTTGATAAACGGCGGGAGTGACTATGACTCTCTCTAGGTAGCCAAATGCCACGTCACTTAATTAGTGACGCACAAGCTTCGATTAACGAGATTCCCACTGTCCTATCTACCATCCTGCAAAACCACAGCCTAGGGAACGGGCTTGGAAGAGTTGGCGGGGAAAGAAGACCTTGTCGAGCTTGACTCTAGTTCGACTCTGTGAAATGACTTGAGAAGGAGAATCGGACTGTTTAATTAAAACAAAGCGTTGCGACGGTCCCAGCGGATGTTGATGCAATGTGATTTCTGCCCAGTGTGCCGAATGTCGAAGTGAAGAGATTCAGCAAGTGCGGGTAAACGACGGGAGTCCGCGGATTTGGCAGACCATCGCGCACAGATCTAGAACAGGTTCGCGCGGATTGTCGCGTGTGGATCACTAACGGAATCGGGCTGATTATGACGCTCAGATCACTAACAGAATCGAGCAGATCATCGCTCGTGGATCACAAACGAAATGGCGCGAGTCATTGGATGCAGATCAAGGACAGAATCACGTGGCGATCCTAAACGTCAATGTTAACACTATCAGCGAAGGAAAGAGCGCATAACTGTGCGTGGTGGACAGGATCAGGATCAACGCTATCATCAACGTCAGGGTGAGAGAAAGCGTGTACGCGATCAAGAAGACCGGGCCATCGTCGCGCAGTCATCAGCACCATTGTCAGTGCAGACATCTTCATCACCGCATCATCATTCACGAGTTCATTGCGATCATCAGGTATGGGATCAGGATCCGGAACGGGATTGGGATCAGCAACAGGATCAGGCTCAGGATTGGGATCCGGATCAGGTTTGGAATCAACATCAGGATCAGGTTCTGAATCGGGATCAGGGATCACGATCGGGCACCATGACTGAATCAGGATCAGGGATCATGATCGGGCACCATGACAGAATCGAGATCAGAATAAGAATGCAGATAGTCACGTCGGATATCACCACGGGTGAGGAACTGCCGCACGATCGTCAGGACCGACGTGCAGATCACCGAGTGGACGCTTGGAAAGCTGCAGTAGGTGCATGCAAGCTCTTCCAGCGGCTGTAGCGGGCTGCCATGGATCTGAGTTGAAGTCCGGGCCGCCATGGATCTGAGTTGAAGTCCGAGCCTTCTTTGGAGTGACCCAAGATCAGAGTTTGGACCATCAGCTTGATTCTTGGGACTGCACCTAGGAGAACGGGCCCCGAGAAGGAGACGCTGACTAAAGGGGAATCTAGGAAGGAACCAATTCGCGAATTACGGACCAGGGGTTTGACGCGGACCGTAGAGGGGGAGCTAAGGCGGAAACACACGACTTTGGACTGAACTCTTGTATGCAGGCCACGACCATCAGGATCGGACCCATGCGGACCTGAAGAACGCTGGTTGATCCTCGAGATGTAGGCCATATTTTTTCCCGAGTGTCCCCTTGGGACCGACGGGAGCGGCACAGACAACACCCCATTGGTTGCAGAATCCAGCGAAGAATACCGACACGATCGGTCTCAGCACAAACTGAACTCTTGGACTGGCGTGAGGGACGTTCCTCTGAGATGGGATGTAGCGTCTGCGCCTATCATTATTGACTGAATAAAACGATTCTCTTTCCTTCGACATTTTAGTGAGTCGCCCAGTTCTCACCTTGTTTTTATATCTGACTCAGTGGCGGATTTTGCACATTGCAGGGGCCCCAATCGACCCTCCCGCGGGTGACAGACGTGGCGTGGACCAAAGGGTTCGTTTGGTGTGCCGGCAGATCACTTCTACCAGTTCACAGCGGTCAAAGCTGGACAGTAGGGAGTACGTGGAGTGCAGCCTAATGTGGTGCCAGCTGGTACTAAGGGCTAGAGCGGTGGGAGAGGACGAGCGGCAAAGGTTCCTCTATGAGCCCAATGCTCACATCTGCTACCTCCCCTTTACCCAATACAAAGGGAAAGGCAGTGGTCAGGGGATCAACAGATGTTCTTCTGGCAATATATGGTACAAAACGGCCACAAAGCGAACCGAAAGTCACCCACCACCACTCAGGTTTCCATCAATAGACTACAGTTAACCGACGTTGATAACTTTCCATGGACGAAATACAACCACCGTATGCCTACCGATGACAGAGCCTTACAGCAGTAAATTCTTCAACGCTGCGTGCCAACTCGAGATCGGCTGGCCTTAATGCTTCGCGCCTTTAAAGCAGGTTGACATGTGCACCTAGCAACGCCTTTAGGTGCGAATCTCTCGCCGGTGCTCAGGGTCTCCTCTCCCCCATGTGCTCCTTCTGTGGTATCTCCGCTCCAAATGCATAGCCACTTTGAAACATTGCCTTCTGGCCTGTCTCATGGCCACTCATTTGCGGCTGCTGGGATGTGGCCTTGTGTTACTTGTGACAGGTAATCATTTCCCTTGGCATGTGTGCATAATACTCCTGGCCCCTGGGTGCCTCCCTTGACCAGCAAGGTAAGTGGGGGCCCTTTGAACAAAACCTGTTTAAAAATTTCAGAGTTACGGTTGTCAGGTGCGTATGGCTGTGTATACCGCCGTACGAATACGGCCTGTCCATACGTATCCGACGCCCGCACGAACGCCCCCCTGGGTGGGCGTATGGCCCGAACGTACGGTAGTCCGTCTCTTTTTTGGGGACTTCCCGGGGTGGGGTTGCAGAACTGACTGGGGGTGGGGGTGTGGGAGTCAGGGGCCACCCCCTGGACCACAAAAAAAAGAAAGACAAGGAACTTCTTTTGGGGGGGGGCTCGGGCTCGGGCCCGCCCACACACACACACACACACACACACACACACACACACACACACACACACACACACACGCACATCCACGCACACACACACACACATACTCCTCTCTCTTATACACATCTAGATGTGTATAAGAGACAGATCCAGAACAGGCCACTCATGTTTGGTGGGGTCGCTACTGGCGCCAGATTCCTTATGTTGTATCTCGCCATCATGGTCCACGGGAGGGCTTGTTTGGTTAGGATTTGATTATCCATTTCATTTGGAGGGCGATTGCTTGGAACACTCTTCTTGATCCTATGTGGCCATATTTTCTTGCTTTCGAGACAAACAGGCCCAAAGACGAAGCCGCCTCCAATGGCATGAAATATGGAGGGAACCCTTATGTTTGGGAACCCTCAATAAAGGCTCTCCTGGCTAGCTTGGGTCGCAAGGGTGAGGGATTTGTGAGATGTTCCTGCAGGCTCAAAGAAGTTGGAAGCCACACCAAAAGGTCACCTAAGGAATATTAACATTTAAAAACCTAATAGCTAAAGTCATGAAGATTCAGGATGCCATCCTGTGCGCTTCGGTCAGGGAACTGAAAACGAGCTCATTAATCCAAAAGAGGGATTGGGTAGTACCTTTGTCTGCCTTTCCATGGTCACATATCACGGCACCTACATCTCTATACGTAACTCGCTGCGCATTTATCGCCGACCCTGCAAAGGCGGGTTGAGATTAGCCTCCCATTCCACAATCCCTGCCATCCGACCATCACGCTTGAGCGCGATCTCAGTCAGAAGAAGCTGCACAATCTTGTTGACCACATCCTCCTCCAGCCCCTCGTCCTCATCAGGAATGAGGTCGTTTGTCTTCGTCATGAAACCACCACGCCACGCAGTGCATCCCTTACGTATCTGCCACCCACCACCAATCGGAGCACCATCACACCACTCGCATTGTATGTCGGGTCACATGTACTCGTACCTATGACAGTGTACCCAGTATCACAGGTAACAACCTACATAGCCCACCCCCAGGCTTTTGACCCTGTGCTTCCAAGAGTGAGGCGGTGTCAGGCAGCTCCAGCCTTACGCCGCCCTTTACTTCCTTCAGCGAAACACTTGACGGAAATCAGATTTAACCGCCATGGCCGACTTGGCCAAGGCCGTCATTTAAAATCTGCCAGATCAGAACTGCTTGAGAGATATCGGGATCGAGACGCCAGGAAAATGCGATCGGGCGATTCTGAGCGACCTCTTTCGGTGAATATTAAGAAAATTTAATGTTGAAAGGACATAGGAATACTGCTACATCAGGAGAGATGCCGGGGCGTCAGCCGGATGATGGGAATAGGGGACCCGAACCCACACTCGAGCTTGGTGGTGTGTGTGACAAACGAGGACATCCGGCTCTTGCGGCGAGCCTTCAGGCAAATTGGGGAGCGACGGCCATGGGGAATTAATGCGAGCCAAGAACGGAAGAAATTACTGCGCGAGCCTCTATGAGGTCTTGACAGTCGGGCTATGAGTAAACTCAAAGGGCTAGCACACTAAGTGTGCTAGCTCACGAAGACACGGGGAACTTCGAGCTGGACTTTGGGGAAGGGACTGGCGCACTTACGGACAGAGGGGTGTGCTGGCCTTTGCGCACTCAAGGAAACGTAGGAGGAGAGGACGTGCCAGCGGACATACCCCGCCCACGAGGGGGACACCCACGGGCGCGCAGCGTTCGCGCACTGGCTGGTGCGAGGAAGTGGGCTGGTAGCCAGTGCGCGGAAGTGGGCTGGTATCCCGCGCACGACCGTAGCGAGAGGGCACGAACTAGCGAGCAGAGAGGATGAGCGCCAAAAAGGCATGACCTTTGGGCGCATTAGAAGTCAATCAGCGGACCAATTAGCGACTTCAGGCTGGCAGATGTGCCGGCACTCGGAAGCCAGCTCTCGATCATGCGTACATTCTAGCAACCTGGACAGTTAGCAGACATACGATCTGAAGGGTGCGCCAAAACTTCCACTTCCACCTTGTGCGGGAGAGGGGAGAGTTCCCGTTTCTTCTAGGATGAATCGAGCCCTACACGCATTGAGCCTAGCACCAAGTTGCAGTTGAGCTTGAATCGGTCAATTGAGGAAGGCCAAGAGGGTGAAAGAACTTCGTGCGCATAAAGATCAAGGGAAGAAGACATCGCTCACAGACGTACGGACGAAAGGGGACATCACGCGTCCAAAAGACACAATCAGCCAAACTTCGCAGGCATTCACGCTCGGATCCCACGCACCGATCTGCCACACGGATCTGTCACAATGATCAGGCCCGCGGATCAAACGCACGGATCTGTCACACGGATCTGTCACACAGATCAGGCGTGTGGATCGGACGCACGGATCAGACACGCTGATCAGACGGGACATGTACCTGGTCTTACCAATGGCCACAGGGTCGACATCTCCATGTACTTGATCCTGGCTGTTGATGCCAACCTGTTGCATTGTCAACCCATAGCTGAATTGTAGCCGTGTGATCGTAATCAGGGCGATGGGGCCAATTTGAAGTAGGGGGGAAGCATCTGATTGAGACACGAGCCAGGCGAACGGCCGTACGAACCGAGCGGGCATTGCACGCGCGACTGTTGGGACATAGCGCACTTTACACGAGCTGGCGCACTGACTTGGGCGATCACAAAAAACCGAGAGCATCAACGAGTTGACTGGGGGGTACATTGGGTGCTCTTGCTCACAGATTCGGTGTATGAAAACGTGTACTTGTGCGCAATCACCGGCGCCGTCGTCTCTGCTACTTCCTAGCGAGATTGGGATGGCATGATCACGTGCTTGTGCTGATGGCGTCGCTCTTGATAGGATTGCTACGTCAGCAGTTCCTCCTCTCCCCTTCATCGCTCTGCCTGTGAATGCATCCGGTCCCCGTGCATAGCCGAATGCATCGGCAGAGCGAAGAGAACCTACTAAGTGCGAGTAAACGGAGGGAGCAACTATGGCTCTCTTAAGGTAGCCAAATGCCTCGTCATCTAATTAGTACGCGCATGTGAGCTGCACACAGGAGAAAAGGCTGCGCGCGAACTCACAGCATCTGCGCAGGCTGGAAAGTAGGAACGCACGAGCTGCGCACGCGCGGGAAGGCTGCCGTGCGAAGAAAGCTGCTGCGCGCAGGGAAGGCTACCGCGCGGGGAAGCTGCTGCGCGTGGGAAGAGCTGCTGCGTTGGAAGGCTGCCTGTGCGGGAAGGCTGCCTGTGCGGGAAGGCTGCTGCGCGCGGGAAGAGCTGCTGCGCAGGAAGGCTGCCTGCACGGGAAGGCTGCCACGTGGGGAAAGCTGCTGCGCACGGGAAGGCTGCGCACGGGAAGAGCTGCCGCGAGGGAGAAGCTGCCACGGGGGGCGAACGATCGCGCGCAGGGAAAGCTGGCGTGCGCGCGCGCGCGAGAGAGAGAGAGAGAGAGAGAGAGACACAGAGAGAGAGAGAGAGAGAGAGAGAGAGAGAGAGAGAGAGAGAGAGAGAGAGAGAGA